CCCTAGACTGACTGTTACTACCCCTCGAGTGTCTAAGGTCTAACTCCTTACTCCTTAATCCATTAATGACTACATCCAACGAGATATCATCTCTACCATACTTTATGGCAGATTTGACGTCATTGTATGAGTCAGGGATGGCATTAAGTAACACTATGGGTGTGTAGTCATCTATGTGTTTATCACCGGCTTGCTTAATATTCTAAATAAGCTTGTTAAACACATCTAGGTTCTCATCTATGTCTTTAGACAGGTCAAGCCTAAATCTAAAGAACTTCTCAAGCAAAAACAATTTACCAGGCAAAGAAGTATCAGTATACGTCTTATCTAACTTGTCCCACAAAGCCTTTGCAGAATCTATAATACCCACCTTCCTGAGGACTGAATCAGAAAGGTTCAGGTATATAGAGGAACAAGCAGTTTCATTCATTTCATCGCGCTTAGCAGCATCCTCAGAGTCTAAATAGAGACCAGTCACTGCTCTATAGACTTTCTGTTGGATCAACACGCATTTGATTTTCTGTTTCCAGATATCAAAATCTGTCTTTCCGTTAAATGGAAGCATGCCATATTGATTGACAGCCATATTAACCGGAAAGCAAGCACAACACGCAAGAGAGTAAATAAAAAATTTATCAGGCTATCAACCGGTACGAAGCAACTAGCACGAACAAGCCGAGAAGACCAATGAACACAAGGCTCGGGTACAATCTCCTTGTTCTTTCGTACAAGCACAGATAAAATTTTTATTTACTCAACAGACAGATAAATGATTAATTATAACCTATAGGGCTATCAATTGTACGAAGCAACTAGCACGAACAAGCCGAGAAGACCAGTGAACACAAAGTTCGGGGTACAATCTCCTTGTTCTTTCGTACAAGCACAAATAGGCTAAAATTAAATCAATAGGCAAAGAAACTGGATTTAAAACTAATCCGGACAGAAATATTCCCAACTTCGGACAACAAGTATCCAAACAAATATTCTTAACCGGAGAGTTTATCCACGAATCAATACAGAAAAATCAAAACTTAAAACGGATTAAATTTAAACCGAAAAGAGATATTCACAACTTTGGACACCAAGTATCCAAACAAAATACTCTTAACCGGAAAATTAATCCACAAATCAATCAACAGAAAAAACAAAATCCAAACGGATTAAATTTAAACCGGAAGAAATATTCACAACTTTGGACAACGAGTATCCAAACAAAATATTCTTCACCGGAAAATTAATCCACGGACCAACAAACAAGCAATCACAATTCAACTAACAAGCAAAGAGCAATTCAACTTGGAATTAAAAATGAATGAACTACGAATAAAAAATCACACAAAAGGATTAGTAAACGTACCAGGGGCCGGACACAGCCGGCATCCAAGACCACGTAGGTCAGCAGCGGGCAGCGGGGAGCGGGGAAAAAATAAATCCGGTGGCACTCCGGTACACCAAGGATGTTTATCGCCAATTTACCTGAGCGGGGCCCGAGGTTGGGTTACCCGACTTACCGTAGGCAGCGTGGGCTGCTGTAGGGCTCGGTGGCAGAAGCTGGAAGGCGGCAGCGGCGCTCCCTGGGCGGCGGCAGAAGCTGGACCGGTGGCAGCAGGCTTCCCTGGACGCCGGCAGACTGGACAGCACTCTCCCTGAAGCTTCTGGACGGCTGGAGGCTTCTGGCAGACCTCCCTGGACCTCCGGCGACGGCGGCAGGCGGCGGCAGGCGGCGGCGTGGCGGCGGCAGACCTCTCCCGGCTCTGATACCACTGTTACACGGACTATCCAACTCAGGTCTCCGGTTTACATCCACAAAGGATGTCAACTAACACCACTAGAATCAAGAAGAGGAGAATTGGGCATCAACCAGCTAATCTATTCTGCCCTAGGTTTTAATTGCTTCCACAGAGGAGTAGCAGAGAAGTAGGGTTCGGCCATCCATCTTGGCAGAGAAGAGAAAGGTATAAATAGACCAAGCAATAGATTATAGAAGGTAACTTACCTTCATGAGAATAACTTCCAATCGGATGGATATGCGAAAGGTAAGAATCGCGCAGGAGTCGAAGAAGGAAAGAGCCGATTAGCAAAGATGCGTAATTCAAAAAACTCATGGACCGATTGAGAGCAAAAAGGTAATGGGTCGGGTACTCCTCTTTGGGCTTAAGAATAAATGGGCCAATACCAACAGGTAGGTTATACAATTAAGAAAACTGAATTGTTTTGACATTCCAGCTTGGTAAACATATATTTGAATTGATTAAAGATAGATTTTATATATATATATATATATATATATATATATATATATATTAAAATAGATAGAGTATAAAAATAAATTTTAGAGCCAACTAAAAAATTCGGAAAACTTTCTGTGTACAACATAACAAAATCAACCATTTTAAGCTTTTCGAGATGAGCACTTAGAGCATCGTAGAATAAAAAGAGTACCCAATTTCCTAACATAATATTTCCTATGGTAATCTTTTCGTCAAATCAGTCATAATGGTCATATAATAACCAATATGACTTGGGGAGTTCATGATTTCTTCCTAGATTTGCTGATCTTTCCATGGATAGTTAAATACCCCAAAATTTATATAAAAAGCTATTTTAGCTATATAGTCAAATATTATTTCTTTTAAAAATGTAAATTTATGGTGTTAATTGCATAATCTAAAATATGTTAGAATTCAAGAATACACAACTTACATCCTAAACTTCCAATGCGAAATAAATAATGTTACCCACAATCTATATAATTGCAAAACTTTTAATTTGTTATTTTAAATTATGTAATTAACCTCATAAATTTACATTTTTGAGAGAAATAATACGTGACAATGGTGCTTAAAGAACTTTTTATATAATGTTTAAGGTATTTAAATTGCATATACAAGTTTGGAAAGTTTACCTCACACCCCTTCAAAGTTTGGAGTATTTTTTTTCCCTTAAGTAAAATAGTTAAATAACTACTCCCTCCACCCCCTTATAATTGTCTCATTTTTCATTTCTGAATGTCTCACTATGATTGTCTCATATCATATTTGGTAATAATTGTCTCACTAATTCATTCTTACTTTATTTCTATTTTATCAGCTCATAATTATCAACTACATAAATCTACTTTTCCTAAAAACCATACTACCCTCGTCCCATTATTAGGGGGACGGATATAGTATTATTTAATAAAAAGTCGATTCGATATGGTTTAAACCGATATTTAAACTTGGAGAACCGTTTTCAAACCGATTCATAGACGGGACCTGACTTTCGGGTCTCAATTAAGTCGGTTCAATTCTGGTTCAATATTTGTAGCATTCCTTCGCTTTTTTTATTCGATTTTCGAATTTTCGGTTAAAAATGCCAGCACTACTAAATACTACTCCATACTAATAATAACTACAAACTTATTATCGGACACTATATAGTGATGTGCTATTACACGTTGTATATGAATCAAATAATTCATACTTGAATTGGGATTCAAATTCATATAAGACGTACTATTCGAATTTGGAAAATTCAAATACGAATACAAATAAGAATACTAGATTTGATTCGAATTGCTATCAATAACAAATACGAATATCAATATATTCGATTCGAATGTTAATCAAATATATTCGATTATTAATAGTGATAATATTAATAATAGTAGTATAGTAGTAATAACACTATAATAACTTTTAAAAGGTAGTTATATATATATATATATATATATATATATATATATATATATATAGGGGAAAGATCAAGTACAAAGTGTGCTTATTGTGCAAATATTTGTACGATGCACCTTGACGTTATTTGCATTGCATATTGAGGTTCAAAGTGTTGCACATTATAAAGTCATAAAAATAACAGTTGCACATTGAGGTGCAACGAGTTGCACCCTAAAAAGTTGGGTTTTATTACAAAAATGCCACCTTGCCTATATGTCCTTTGGATCAACTCATCGGACGGTCAAGATGAGTTTGTACTTTGTAAATTAAGAAGGCTTTGTATTTGATCTCTATTCTATATATATATATATATAGAAATCATCATGTCAGGCCGGCCTGACGGGCTGCCCCGTCCGGCCGAGCCCGTTTGAGCACCTTCTCGGTGGAATTTTTTGATGAAATTTTTTGAGCATGTTCCTCATCAAGTCTAGTTTTTCCATACCAAATTTCAGCTCCAAATTCGATCGGGAAGGTCGTCAAATGATTTTTGCAAGTTAACTGGTCCGGAATATGTATTTTCCGGACCAGTTAACTTGCAAAAATCATTTGACGACCTTCCCGATCGAATTTTGAGCTGAAATTTGGTATGGACAAACTAGACTTGATGAGGAACATGCTCAAAAAATTTCATCAAAAAATTCCACCGGGAAGGTGCCCAAACGGGCTCGGCCGGACGGGGCAGCCCGTCAGGCCGGCCTGATGAGAAGAGCTCTCTATATATATATATATATATATATATATATTTTATATATATATATACATTCCAAGACAATTTGTAATATCACACATTTATTGCATAAGAAACATAGGAAAAGTTATTTTAAAGTAATATATATTTGATTAATATTAACTTATAATCAAATCAATTCAATATTCATACAGAGTATATGATTCGTTAACTATTCATATTGTTAAACAAATACAAATACAAATAGAAAATAGTATTCGTTTCATATTCAGATTCGGATTCTAAAAATTTGAACAAATACAAATATAAAATAATACTCCCTCCGTCCCATAAAATTCTTCCCACTTTCCTCTTTGGGCCGTCCCAAAAAATTCTTCTCACTTTCCTTTTTGGATAATTTGTGTGGTTCACATTCATTTCACTTTTTTCTTACACAACCACAACCACACATTTCCACTTTATTCCACTTTCTTAATCTCCGTGCCAACTCAAAATGGGAAGAATTTTCTGTGACTGAGGTAGTAGTATTCGTTTACAATTACTTCGTATGTTTTACTCCATCACATTTGAAGGCGCGCGTAGATGGGCCGTTCAGAGAACAATGGGGATAGGCGTGGATATCAAATACGGAGTGGAGTATATAAATGTTACGCAGAGATCAAAACCTACGTCAATACTCAATTGCGCAGCCTTCCATATCCTCACCTACTCAAACGAGCCAAATCATGAATCTCCAAAACCCACTGTCAATCCTGCCCTCAGAGATCAACCTTGACATCTTCTCAAGATCAATTGGCAGGAAAGCAACTTATCATAGCCCAGTGTGCGAGCAAAGAGTGGCGTTCCTTCATAGAAAACATCAAGCGCTCCTATACCGGGCAACCCCAGTTTCTCATCCTCTCACCTGGACTGAAATACGACGAAGAACGACAAATTAGCAGGGAAGTGAGATCAATAAGCCTCGATCTTTGCAGAGAAAGACTATCCCAGTTCACAGGCCATTTATCTTTTGACAAACCCACCGAAGAAGATTGTATGCATCATTTTGGTAATGATTTTAACTTTTAAGTTGTGGATTTTGTGTTCTGGTTGTGGATTTGTTCTTCTACACATTGGAGAACATATAATTTTGTGGAACCCCCATACGAGCTGGTCTACCAAAGTTCTTGAGCTTCAAAGACTCCGAGATGAGGACCAAGGTTTTAAATAGCCGTAGCGGTAGCGGTAGCGGTCATCGCGGTAGCGGCCTATAGCGGCCTGTAGCCGACTGTAGCGATTGCAGCGGCGTGAAATATTTTCAATTGCGCAAAACATATATTTAATGAGTGTTGAAGTTAATACAAACATTGTGAATATTTATTTGAACACTTATAACAATAGCGGGCTGTAGCGGGCGGCGTAGCGGGTTTTTCCCGTGATTTGGAATTCACAGCGGAATAGCGGGCCGTAGCGGTAGCGGCCCCTACCGCGACCGCTATATAGCGGCCGCTATAGCGGTAGCGGACCGCTATTTAAAACCTTGATGAGGACTATAAGGTGGTAGGAGGGCTTTGTTACGATCCATCCATGTCAGATCACAAGGTTGTCATATTACTTAGGCATAGCACCCCAGACTACGGTGGTCAGTTTGTTTATTTTTCAAGCCTGAGAAATAAAGGTTGGCAACATGTGCCCTTCCCGTATAACTATATGACTTCACGAGATGGGGTAAACTTTAATAACACACTTCATTGGATAGTAAGTGACGTCGAAAACTCAGATTGGGATCCAGATTACTATGATTCGGATTATCAATATTATGAATATTATAGGAAATGGGACAATCTCGCTGGGTGCAATAAAATTGTTTATTTTGATCCCGTTGATGATGCATTCAAAACATTGCCCTCCCCTACACGAATCAATTCGGAAGAAGAAGACTCCATAGTTGGTACGGGAATTATAGATGGATGCTTCTGCATGGCAAGGAAGGATGAAAATAGGCAAGTGATCCGAGTATCACTTATGAAAGACTATGGAATACAAGAGTCTTGGGTCACATCCTTTGCCATCTCAATGATGAGGTTTAAACCATTTCACATTTACAACCTCAAATTTATGTCCCAAAATGGGAAGTATTTATGATGTGTGATTTTTCCTTGAGAACATATGTGTATGATGTCGAAGAAGACAAACTAGAAGAGGCATTCCTTTTAGGAGATAATCGTGGATATATTTATGATTATGGCTGCCTTAGTTGCTTCTATGTTGAAAGTTTTGATTTGCCATGTGAAGTGAGTTGGCCAGAGGGATGGTAATGAGAAAACAATGCAGGCTTTGGAATAATTGTACTTCTTCTGATGATTAAATATACGGAGTATGTTTGTTGCTTCTAGATATATCAATGTTCAATATCTGATGTTAAGTAGAACGGAGCTCTCGAATGATGCACTGAGCTATAGGGCTCAAAGGAGAATGTTTACAATCTGGACAAATTTCAATTTGGACGGAAGCTGTCGCTGGGCGATATTTTATTCCACCCTCAGGCTCTCATGGGGCCACCAATTAACCCGGCCCATCACTTACTTTCTGAAACAATTACATTAGTTTAAGCCCGGAATCTCTTTTCGGACACAATCAGCCTGTTGCATTGTAATCCACGAACCTTGATCATTATTGAAATAAAAATTGTATTTGCGGAAAAAAAAATCTGATGTTAAGTAGAGCCCCCAAAATCAATTACCTACCCTGTAATTTAACGTGCCTGTTTTCTTGAATGGGTTTTAATCAATTAGCTGCCATGTAATTCGTTCTGCAGCTGTCAAAAGTGTTTTATCTCATAATCCCTCTAAGAGAACTGGAATATAATGTGACGTTTAATTCAACGGAAACCATTATAGTATGTCGCTAATCAGTAATAGCCCTCCATTACACAGCATGTGATGTTTATTATTAGTAGCATCTGACTATCTGAGTAGAGTTGAATCCAAGCAGGAGGAGGTTTCTCCCACTGAAGTTGCAGAACAGGTTTCTCCCAATATCATGTTTTGGGGAGTCCTGGTTTCCTTTGTGTTATGACAACATGAATTGAGTTGATTTGTAATTTTCCCACTTCATTGTTGCATTTTGGCTGATACTTGTTATATTTTGGGAAAACATAAATTACTACGGAGTAAATAGCAACAGATGGATCACACAAATAAAAGTGGAAAGACAAACTTGTTGGCAAAAACATATATATTGAGGTTTAAAATGTTGAGCTACATACTTTAACATGGTAATTTGCCATAGATATTTTTGATGTGGACTAAAATTAATCAAATTATCAACGGGGAAGCGGATTTGAAGCATAAAACAAAGCTATAGTACTAGTATATTGGTATCACAATGAAATAGTGTTTTCTTAAAACATGGGAAAGCTAGTGGTTAAGGCAAGGGAACAAGGAGTTTTTCTATGTTTTCCGAACGGATTTTCGAATGTTTTTCTTATTTTATTTTTACTCGTTCGGATTCCCTGAATGATTTTTTTTTGTCTTAGTTGGTCGGATCATTTATTCCAAATGGTTTTTTTTTTTAATTTTTTAGTTGTTCGGATTTCAAATTTTTTCCCGAATTAATTCCTTTAAATAAATAATTCCCAAAATATTGTCAGGTTATTAATAATTCCTGAAGTCTGTAGTAGTTAACCGTTGTTAAGGAAACCCGTCAATCCAAATGGCGGTTCTATAAGCCACCAATCCAAGTGCGGCTCATTAATAAAAGGAAAAATTGAAAATAATAATCTCAACTATTGCCGGTCCGCTAACAATAATCCCAACTATTGATTATTTTTGTATAATCCCAACTATATGGACCATCCGCCAATAATGGTCCATGACCAAAAATTACCTTCTATAAAAGTGAATTTTAAATAGAAGCGTAAAAATTAAAAGTTGAGATTATTTATAGAGATTGCTTGCTATATCTCTTCTCATCCACTTCAGAAAGTACATGAATTTATTTACAGGGACTGTTATTTGCGGAAGGACCCTAAAGTTGGGATTATTCTAAAATCATCGATAGTTGGGATTATTATAAGCGGACCGCCAATAGTTGGGATTATTACAATCAATTTTTCCTTAATAAAAACCACCACTTCCGGCGAAAAATAAAGTAAATAGTGTGATTAGATAAATATTTATCATGCGCGTGTGGAAGTCAAGAGTACTATTTCTAAAATGATCTCTAGATTCATCCCTCATTTATTAGATTATTGTAAAAAAAATTGTAAGAATATTATTATGTGTTATAAATGTTTATATATTACTCCCCCGTCCCATTTTACCTGTCGTACTTTTCTCTTTGTGTTGTGCTAAAATAAGTGTCACATTTCTCTTTTTGCAAAGAAATATGTGGTTCACAATCACTTTATTACACTCAAATTTCAACCTTAACTTTTACCTCGTTAATCACTATATTAAAAATTGTGTCAAACCAATGGAGACACATAAAATGGGACAAAGGTCCCGGCTTTTTTGATGAGTGTTACTCCGTATTGGGTGCTTCTAAGGACTACCTCAATTTGGTGTGTTTTGGTACAAATCTTTTTAACTAATCATATTATATCTTACGATCACCACATATCCTCTTTAACTAAACTTTCTGTACACTGCAATAAAATTGAATTTTAGAGGCACAATAAAATTGCCCATAAAAAAAGAAAAATTGTCTCTAATGCTTTTTTTGAGGCAATTGGTTGCCTTGAAATAATATAATCCATCGCTAAATTATTGTTGCCTCTAAAATTTAGAAGCAAACTAGAAGCTAATTTTATACTACCTCCATCCCCAAAAGATTGACCAATTTGACTTTTGTTGATCAATTGTGTTAAAGTTTAGACAACAAATTTAGGTATTATATTTGTGAGTAATATATAAATTTTTAAATTTTATGAAAGACTTTTTTAATAAAGAATATGCTCAAATAATTTTCATATTTTAAAAAGTTTTTTGTTAAAAAATATCATTGGTCAACTTTGACCACCATTGACAAAAAATGTCAAATTGACTAATCATTTTGGGAAGGAGGGAGTATCACATGGAATGTCAAAATGAAGTTTAATAACTCGATAGGGTAGAACATAAACTTATCTAAACTTCTGACAATTTCATAAATTTCACTAATGCATAAATTATTAGAACATTCAAAACGAAAAAGTATGAACTACAAGCTCAGGGAAGAAATATCTCTTTAGTCGGGTCATTGAGAAAAATGCTTGAGGTACACAAAATGTGTACACATGTTTGTCCTTCACAGAAATTTTGTCTGTCACAGACAACTCAAAATCAGTTGTCTGTGACAGACAAAATTTCTGTGAAGGACAGAGATGTACACACACTAGTAGAATTTCACCCTTTACCAACAACTTTCATACATACAAAATTAAATTTGTGGACATACATAATAATAATAATAATAATAATAATAATAATAATAATAATAATAATAATAATAATAATAATAATAATAATAATAATAATAATAATAATAATAATAATAATAATACTCCCTTCGTCTCAATATAAAAGACACATTTTCTTTTTTGGGTTGTCCCAATATAAAATGCACATTTCCCTTTTCGGCAATCAAAACAGTGACAAACAGTGTCCAAAAAGTGTATAAACAGTGTCAAACAGTGTTCCTTCTAAAAATGTTTGAAAACGCAAATGTGCTCTTTATATTGGGACGGAAGGAGTAATAATTATAATTACAAAATCGGTGAACAATGTGAACTATAATTAAAAATATAATAAAATCTTATAATTACCCCTAGCAAATGAATAATTAAATCAATTAAAAGTTGGGAATACTTGTCAAATTTAGCAAGGCACTACTATTCAAGGTAAATTAAAGGAGATGCGCGTAGGAAACTTGATGTCGTTATCGACTCGCCATTACTTGCCACTGCATATGACCGACTTGCATGAGGAGCGACGAAGCTATTGTTGTGCACATGTTGCTGTCGGCGGTCACGTCTGTCCAAGCCAGTCGCTTCCGTCTGCCGAATCTTCCGTCTTTGCCTCGCTCGAGCTGTTGCGCCGTTGTATAGTTTAAGGGTTGGTTATTCCAGCCAACTTCGAAAGTTGCGAGCACGAAATAGATGTAATTCAAAAAATTAAGAATTCACGATAGTTATCAATATCATAACCACATCGCCTCTCGGTTAGTATCAATAATTTTATTTTAATATAAGCTTCGGATCTTATACAATAACCGGTGCATATATTTTTTAAAAAATAAATATTTAAAGAAAATAAAAAAATTGTGTCAGTTATTATTAAGGAAGCACCAAGCATGTGCCCGTAATTCTTTTTAATACAACATTGAAGTTACCGCTATTGTAGAACCAGAAATTAGTTTTTATCACCACTCTAATATTTTCACCCACCAAAATTGAAATTCTAAACGTACACCTCATCTCATGTCCTCACATGGTCATGTCGTCCTCTATATATAATACTCCCCGCCCATCTCAAAATAATAGTTACGTTGCGGATTTTGTAATCTGGATTATAAATTAAAGTTTATATATTCCTTTCACAATTCAGCTGATTCAATCAGAATTTCATCAATTTACGCAGATACAATCATTTTGAGTGTTACCAAAGAGGTTCTAAAATTTTGTCTAAAATTATAAAGTTATTTTTTGGTACCAAAACTAGTACTTCTTCCGTCTCGCTAGAAGGTTCTCGTTACGGTTTATGATGTTTGACTGACGATAAAACAACTTAATCCATGTTCACACTCTGATTATTTTTAGTAAATAAAATTTACATATTCAGAAACTACATTAAAACCGTTACAAAGCCTGATAAAAAAAATGTAAATTTGATAAAAATTTCATATATAAAGCCTAAAATTAAAAATGATTTATGATTTTTTGCCAAAGATGTTATTATTATACTCTCTAAGATTTATTTATCTAGCAAAATTTTAAACGGAGGTAGTAAAATTAAAAAGAGTCTTGCTACCTTTTTTTGTAGGCGCGTTTACCTGCAACGGCATATTCGGACTTGCCAGCCAGGTTGGCAATCCGGCAAGTCTTCTCCAGCATTTGACCGTGACCTCATCATCAGTTCGTGCTTCTTCATTCCTTCCTCTCAGAAACAAAACCCGGAGATGAAGAATGAGGAAAAATTTGACCGTTGTAATGGAACTTGCCCGTTGGCAATCCCGCTCCCTCTATATAAACATATTACTCATACCCGTTACCATTGGATCTTCAAATAAATCCCCATTCTCGCAGAAACATAACCCAGAAATTAAAGACAGAGTCTTCTTGTTCCTGATTCTGATGTGGAACTCGCCCTCGATCTATGTGTTCTAATTCGATAGTCTTGAATACCTTATTCCTTGATTCAGAAACCTAATTCAAGAAACCTAATTCAGAAACAAAACCCAGAAACCTAAATTTCTTTCTTGAATAACAATAACCTTCTTCCTTGATTCTTGATGCGGGCGGCGCTGCAAAATTCTGTTTTAGGGATGGATGACTAAAACTGGAAGGTCAGAACTGCTTGAGATGATCGAGCAAGCAATAATGTCAGGTATGTGGTGTTCTTCATTTAATTTCTTGCTTCTTCCATTGTCTCGATCAGAAACATAGTGTTCTTGTTCCTGCGGGTAAACAAACCCAAGATCGAATTTATACTATACCCTGTTCTAGCTAATTTGTATCTTTCA